TTTGGGTGGCTCTCTCACAGTTAAGTGCTTTAACAACAGCATGTTAGTCCTTAATTTGAAAGTCTCCATTATACACAGCTCCATGAGGTTTGAAACTACTTCGATTCTTTACATTTTCCTAGGGTTGAATCATTCACTTGTATTTCTTGTTTACTTTTTCCCATTATTTCTTTCATTTAATATTCTGTCTATCTGCATCTTCTAGGAGTCTAACATGCCTTGATGATGCATCCTAGTTTCTTCTTGTGTTCTCAGACTACTTTTTTCAGGAGTTTGTTCTAAAGGCTTGTTCTTTGCTTGCACCTCTTTGCTTGGCATGGGAATCCCTGAATGTGATCTGAATACTGCTATAGCTCATTGGTTGAATTCCCAGACACTACTACTTTCCTTGCACTAAAACATCAGAAAACTGAACACTCTTCCCTTTAGGAATTTCTCATACATGGACTATACTCCTGAAAAAAGCAAACTAGCCACTTGCAAAAGACTGCTTAGATTTAACTTGTGTTCAGCTGAACTTTAAGTTCTTAACTTACTGAGAATTTATTGAACTTTAACTTATTAAGCTGAACTTCATTCAGCTTAAAGACTGAATGTATTTTAAATTGACTGATTCCTGCTTAATTTGTGTATAATTTAGTACAGCTATCTTTGAGGCTAGATCTTCAAGTTTGATCACCCGCCCCACCTCTGTGCTGCTGCTGTTGGTCTGCTGCTCCCTTTTTATGGTTGCAGAGTGATCCCATAGATTTTTTGAAAGCAGAGGACTGAAAAGATTTATGCAGTGTCTGCTGATGGCTATAGTCCTTCTTTAATACCACCAGCTAATTGTTAAAACTTTTTTGGAGCTCTAGTAAATAAAATAGAATCCCATTTGAGATTTCTGAAGGACAGCCTGGTTGTTTGCTGGACACTTAGGAAACTGCAATATACAACTCAGATGTGGTAAAGTTTTCTGAAACACAGCAGAGCTTAGGCTGTGGGTATGAGTTTCTAGTTACTCTTCCAGTTGTGCACATCTTCCATCTTTTCCCCTTGTTGTGATTCATGGTCCAGCAGTCCCATTTTGCATCTAATACAAGCAGCTGTGGATTCCCCAATAATAGAGTGAATGGCTGAGCGTTGAGGAGGGCTTTGGGTTACAACTTATCTCCTCAATGCAATATTGATGACAAATGACAAGATTTTCAAAATTTCCAGAACCAAGCAGTTCTTACCCAGAAAAGACAAAATATCAAAAGTGGATTTCACACCCACCCACCACCCCTGACTTTTGCTTCTTAATTCTTGACCATTCTGAAGAATGGACTTGAATCGTAAATTCCTTGAGGGTTCCTGCTTGTGGCTTCTTCCAGAGCCTTCTCTCTGTTCTGTTCTCTTTCTGAATCAACTGGTGAGAAATTACTTATCACCAGTTCCTCTTGTCAGGTGACAGTGTGATTAATCTCATGACAGTAAAACTGATCACTGGTGACCTGTTGTTTTTAAACACTGTCCTGAAATTCAAAATTGAAAAACCACCTTGCTTTGAACAGTAACTATAGAGACACTATTTCTCTGCAACTTGACTGTATGGTGACAAATAATTCTCTCCTTTTCTCCTTCCTCCGTCTTTTTTTTTTTTTTTCCTAGGACAAAAAAAATCCAACCCAAAACAAACCCTGGAGATTCTGAAAAAAATATATGGAAAATCATATATGCACATATCAAATTGTAACCTCATCTACTTCTTGAAAGATTAAGAAATGTATGATGTCAGGTGTCACCAAACCTCCTTTGCTCCCAGAGTGCCATCAGCAGTGGTGATGGCATAAATAGCTATCCTGAGCCGTGTGTTTATGCAACTTGAGGTATTTAACTACTGGAAAAGTGTATCCTACAGTTTGGGAATCTCTGTATGTTACCTTAGATCATAGTCTCCTAGACATGACTGTAAATGAAAGGTAAATTAATTTGTATAATGACAGATATATTTTCTGTGCTGTATGCTCACTTGCTAGGATGCTTTTTGCCTGTTGCTATTGCTGTAGAAGAGAAAAAGTCAAAATATTGAAAATCATTGGTGCTAAGTGTATAAACAAAAAGAAGACGTGTAATTTTCTTTGGAGTCAGAAAGATTAAGAAGGAGAACAAACTTTTGCTACTAAAAAGCCTGGAAAAAGTGAATATCTATATAGTCGTAATATAGCTGACCAGTGACAATATATAAGTGTACCTTATGCTGTAGATGTTAGAACTTGCATAACTGAACTTAGACCATTTACTGATTTTGGAAAGGATGGAGTATATTAAAATTTTCCTGTTTATTATAAGAGAAGATATTTCACTTATCCTTTTTTCTTTTTTCTCTTCTCCACAAAATCTCTCAGCCGTGCTTTTGCCACCTGGGAGCTGATGAAACCACCTATCAGTTATGTCTTTGGAGGCCCTTTTCAGCATTGTGACATTTCTGAGTGGTCAGCAGGATCTAATCTATTTCTATTATCTTTCTATTGACATCATCTGAGAGTGGAATAAAATTACCACTGCAGCTAAACATCACGCCTTTCAGGGACAAGGTAACATTAGAAAGAAACAATCTCTGTATACTTAGCTTTACAGTGTAGGGCATGCTTCTCTCCCAGTAGAACTGGGAAACATGTTTCAAAGTTATCTTTAATGAAAATTGATTATGAACACAGCAAGGCTTATAGGGAAAGGTATTGTCTTTCTGTAGACCAATTAATATAACAAACTTCCCAAGCTTTTGGTACTACAAAGACGATTCTGATCTAAAGCAGAGATAGCAGACTTCAAGCTAACTACTACTATTACGCTGATGGTGTCACCTATGTTTGCAGCTATCCTTCTGGAAAGTGAAAGCATGTGTGACAGTTGGAGCTAGCCTCCTTCCTGCCTGCCCCCAAAAGCTACCCAAACTGTCGGACGTTTCCTTTTCAACTCAGCTTCAATTAATTCTGACCCTACAGCTCACATCTGTAGAGTAATCACAGAAATGGAAAACGCTAATATGTGTCTTGGGAGGCTGGCTTTCCAGTCCTGTCTGGTTTAATGATACAGCACATTTGGAATGATGTAACTGGATACAAACTCACCATGATTATCCTCAACATCCCAAGTATTTTTGTTTATAATGAGTGTCTTTATGCTATTTGAAGTGATGCAGTTTAAAGAAATGAGAGTACCCATGCAGGAGCTCCCTGATTGTAAAAACGAGTATAGCAATAAAAAGTATTTGTCTCAGTTTATCTACTCATTGGGGGATTTGAGATAATAACCCACCATCCATATGTGCTTATCCTGGGCCAAGGTTTTGGCAGGTTATGAGCAGA